AAACTACAATTACAAAAAATTGATATGAAACCCATGAAACCACCAACAAAAATGTAAAGCTAGCTTCCGTACTAGAACATGGTGTCATTCGTCGAGATAATTTATCGTTTTGTTTAATAGATCAAGAAATGTAAATATTCCCCTGTTATTTTTTATAAAATTATAAGAGAAATAAATTTTTTTCTAAATAGTATAGTTTATTATTTTGTAGAAAAACAAAATTTCGAAAATTTTAGTAATGTTTCAGAAACAACCGTTATTAATAATAGGTACCATTTTCCTTAATAAGGTAGAAATAAAATATAAACTATTTCCACGATTTACAAAGGCCTACAAAAAAATTATAGGTATTTTCCGCTATCCTATAAAATTTATATTTTCTGACTCAATTTCAAAAGGTTGAAGGAATTCCAAAACACCTTTTATGGCATAATAATTATTTTCAATTCTACATACTATCTTTAGCTGCTTTTAAAAACGTTCTAAGAAAGTCCAATCAGACCAATTTAATCCCTAAACTATTCCACACTTTTAAAATTTAATTACCTAAAAATATTAAAAACTATTTAAAATAACTTGTTTAGCAGACTGTACAATAGCTATCTTAGTCACACGTAGCGCGTTCTCTGTCTGGGCGTCGAACACCTCTAGAAATTTGATGAACTGTAATAGATATATTGCATTTTCTACGTTAAATTCAAATACTTGTAGCGCTAAAGTAACTCAGAATACGTTTATTAAAATAGTTAATCCTTCGTTTCAATGTATAAAACTAGAATAATAACTAGAAATATCTACGCAACTTAAATAAGAAGTTTTTAGTATTTACCCCATAAAAACTGCTATTGGCACCACTTCATACTATATTTCTTTAGGTTAATGTTTATGCAACATAAATTATGTTTATAATGATATAAAATTAATATAATTACAAAGTACAATTCTTCCACAGATTTTGCTGCAATTATAATTACAAATTACATGAAAAAAAAGTAATTGTAATTATTAATAACTTTTTAACTTGGAATTACCCAGCTCTGAGTGAAGTTTGTACCAAAGCGCACTATGGCCAAAACAGGATTTTTAACCTATTAACGAATCTATAAACCTATTTTTAATAAAGATGTTCGTAGGAAAATTAAAGAGTATGCATTAAAGTGAAAAGAAAAAGTAAGATAGTTATTAAGATCATGTAGTAGAACCATGATATTTTGAAACAAATTTTAATAAAATTGAAAAATTTGGGACATACAATAATTTTCGCACACTAAATCTCCTTTTGGTAAATGGTAAAACGTAAAACCGTGATAAAACACACAAAATCCCTATAAAAGAAATGTGATACAATACGTATTTCTTTATTTTTAAAAGTCTATAGATTAATTTACCCCTACCAGTTTTCTGTAATAAAAATTGTACAGTGTTTCTTAATTTTGTTCCTTGTATACCCATTAAAAATAATTTGGTTACGGCTTTGCAAATAATCATTCACTAGTGCTGCTGGTGAGAATAAACATATGTTTTTGGCTTTGTAAAACACTTGTTGGCTTGGAGTGACATCACCATGTAAAAAAAAACAAATGTCAACGTACGATTCGGATAAACATGCGTTTCTTTTACTTTATTTATTTTCGAGAAACTTTAGTCCGAATTAAAAAAAAATTAATCGAGAAGAATAAATGAAGCCACAAGTGGATAAAGGTATCATGACACAAAAAGATTATTTCGAGAAAAACAACTTTAAAGTTTTACAATTGCATTATGATATTATGGCTCATAACACCTTCCTATCTGACGAATAGCTGTTATTTATCAAAATTGGAAATCAGAACTATCACAAACAAAAAATATAGTATATTTTAAGTACATTAGGTCATAAAAATCATTTTTTTTAAAAAATGTGATATGACACCTTTATCCACTTGTGTCTTCAAATATATTTATTATGGTTGGTTGATAGCTATGACAAAATAGGGACCGGATTGTTTTATATGCATAGCCAGTTGTATTTATATTATACACAAGGGAAATCATATTTTATTCATATCTATCAGTCTTGAAATCTATATAAATATGAAAATGATCCCCTGGTCTAAAAGAAACAAGATTTTGTATATTTTATGCACCGTTTGCATTCTAAAATAGTTGTACTTTAACTACTATAAAATACAAAACAAGTCGAAAACGACTCACATCTTTTATAATGTCTTAATCAATTTGAAACAAAGTTCACATTAATTAATTACATTTTTCCGACTTAATTACACTTTACCTATCGCTATCGTCACACCAATAATAAACATTAACAACCCATATTTATCAATTATTTCCGTTAATAATTAGTTTTTCAATGAACCGACTAATAATAAGTGACATTTCCCACACCACCACTTAAGACGTTCGCACTTAATGATTTAATGACCGTTTTAAATTCAATTATAGCTCATCTTCACTGTTCATAATTAAAATCTTTTTTCTTTTTCATTCCATACCAACGGGAAGCAGGATTGCGTGCCGCTCTGGAATTATTGTTGACACAAAAAAATGCTGTTTAAAAAATACGTTTAAGGCAGTGATTGCATTAAAATAAAAGGTTTTCTTGGTTTTTGTATAAAGAAAACGAAAAATATATTACTCTTTCTGTACTAGGCTGCGATTTTAGATATTGAGGCTCTTGTTTAGTTCTCTTTATTTTTTTGTACTGGAGATTATTTAACATTATAATACAGAGTCTTCAACAATACCCGTATCTCACGTAACTTAATTGATGTCCTCAGTTGGTTAAAAGAAACATTATTAACTCCAGTAGTAAAACAGTGTCACATAAATATTACTAAATATTTTTTTTTTTTTTTTGGAGTGAGGGTAGCCATATGTGAGTAGTAGGGATTAAGTGTAAGGGTTAAAGAAAAGGTCCTTTATTTCTCACAAGTCAATTTAATTGGCGACCGGTTTCGAAGTTGTCACTTCATCATCAGGCACACCTAAATGGAATGTCAAGGAGTCAGTTGTAATAAAAACAATTATAAAAGCATGAACGGACTTTAACATATACAAAATAACAGAAAAAACACAAAAGAAAGTTAAACAATAACCTTGACTCACCTTGACTAATTCCATAAAGGAAGCGCTACAAAAAGTTTAACAGAACGAGTTAAAAAAGTCATGTGTAATAAGTATTTTTTTAAAAAAAATTTTAATGTAGGTTAGGTTAAACCACCAGATGTCTGTTTGAATAAAATAATTAATTAAAACACATTTAAGACAATTATTAACTAAACAACACAAAATAGTTTTACAAGCACAAACAGTTTAAAAAATTTTTTTAAGGATATAATGTTAATTACTGAAAGTAAAATGTAAAAAAGTAAAAATTATCAGACTGTCAAGACATCTATCTAGATTTTTAACGAATCAATGCAGTAAACTGTAAATTTTAAATTAGCGGATAAATAGTGTACTAACGAAGGTGTTATTTACTGAAAGTGAGTATAGGTGGCGGTGACAAAATTTATTGAAAGTAAAATATATTAAACTGAGAATGAGAAAGCAAAAAAAATTTTTTTATACTAACAAGAAAATTAGAACACTAAACAAGAAAATATGAAAATTCATAGGTAAAAGGGAAATTTGAAGCAGATAATCAAAAGAAAAATTACTGTTACAGGAAACGGAAACTAGGTTGACAGTACGAATGTCAAAAAAGAAAAGTCAAATTTTGGCGTATGACAACCACGTGGGAGAATTTGAATAAGCTAAAAAATTTAATAAGATGCGAATGGGCAAAAATTAATGGAAAGAAAATCTAAATTGGGAGAGTTAATTGTGGTAAGTAACTGACTGAAGATCAAATGAGTGGGGGGTAAAAGTCTGAAATAATTTAAATAAGCGCAGAGAACGTTGGGGTACTAATAAATTGAATTTGTGCATTCAGAGAGCAGGAGGGGCCAGATTTAATATTTTTTAAAATTTCCAGGTTCTCAAAGTTATTCAACGGCGGTTGACTTTTACCCCCCACTCATTTGATCTTCAGTCAGTTACTTACCACAATTAACTCTCCCAATTTAGATTTTCTTTCCATTAATTTTTGCCCATTCGCATCTTATTAAATTTTTTAGCTTATTCAAATTCTCCCACGTGGTTGTCATACGCCAAAATTTAACTTTTCTTTTTTGACATTCGTACTGTCAACCTAGTTTCCGTTTCCTGTAACAGTAATTTTTCTTTTGATTATCTGCTTCAAATTTCCCTTTTACCTATGAATTTTCATATTTTCTTGTTTAGTGTTCTAATTTTCTTGTTAGTATAAAAAAATTTTTTTGCTTTCTCATTCTCAGTTTAATATATTTTACTTTCAATAAATTTTGTCACCGCCACCTATACTCACTTTCAGTAAATAACACCTTCGTTAGTACACTATTTATCCGCTAATTTAAAATTTACAGTTTACTGCATTGATTCGTTAAAAATCTAGATAGATGTCTTGACAGTCTGATAATTTTTACTTTTTTACTTTTTTCTTTCAGTAATTAACATTATATCCTTAAAAAAATTTTTTAAACTGTTTGTGCTTGTAAAACTATTTTGTGTTGTTTAGTTAATAATTGTCTTAAATGTGTTTTAATTTATTATTTTATTCAAACAGACATCTGGTGGTTTAACCTAATCTACATTAAAATTTTTTTTAAAAAAATACTTATTACACATGACTTTTTTAACTCGTTCTGTTAAACTTTTTGTAGCGCTTCCTTTATGGAATTAGTCAAGGTGAGTCAAGGTTATTGTTTAACTTTCTTTTGTGTTTTTTCTGTTATTTTGTATATGTTAAAGTCCGTTCATGCTTTTATAATTGTTTTTATTACAACTGACTCCTTGACATTCCATTTAGGTGTGCCTGATGATGAAGTGACAACTTCGAAACCGGTCGCCAATTAAATTGACTTGTGAGAAATAAAGGACCTTTTCTTTAACCCTTACACTTATTACTAAATAAATAAAAAATGACTTCAAACGCTGAACTTGTTTGCGTCTACTCAGCCCTTATTTTGGCCGATGACGATATTGCCATCACTGGTGAAAAAATCCAGACTATCTTGAAAGCCGCCAATGTAGAATTCGAACCCTACTGGCCAGGTCTTTTCGCCAAAGCCCTTGAAGGTGTAAATATCAAGAACCTCATCACCAATATTGGGTCTGGTGTAGGCGCAGCCCCAGCTGGAGCTCCTGCAGCAGCTGCACCAGCTGCCGCTGTCGCAGCTCCCGCCAAAGAGGAGAAAAAGAAGGAGTCCGAACCTGAAGAATCTGATGACGATATGGGTCTTGGTCTCTTTGACATGGGATATGGGTAATGTTGAGGACTCCTTACATCAACCAATGACAATCCTCTGTTCTGAGTTCAATCTTAATTGGATTTAAAAAATTAAATTACCTTAGTAACGTATTCATGATTTATGCAAAACATCAATGTAAAGTTTGTCAAAAAGATGAGGAAAAATTGGACAAAAATCGTAGCGGTTGTTAAGATATTATTTTAATAATATTATTAATTTTGTATATAAATAAAATTACCATTAAGTTGTACTCAGAAGTTCTATTTTTATTGTTAAATAATCTTTTCAAATACCACGTGAGGTGAGAATTTTATTTGAGAACATATATTTGTTTCCTTACAAGCGCCTAATTTATAAGGACACAGCAAAATATTCTCTCTCAAACAATTCTCACCTCTTGTGGTATTATCCTTGATAATTTGCCCAGCTAGTGTTCATTATGTGAAATGCAAGTGGATGATTTTCTTGTCGAAACAAGTACGGTAGAGCTAAAATTACTGCTTGATGCAATTGACCAACAGAATGAAAAAAAGAAAATGTTGGTGTCTTTTTCTATCCCTTTTATTTTATTATAAAAAATAAAAGACTCATTGTATCCTAACTATTATAGGTCCTGGCGATTCTAGCTTAGGGATACCCCCTCTGTATCACATATGTTTGTAAGCAGGCTTGATTTTGATATATAAAGTGACACCTTTGGTAATGGCTGCAAAAGTCAAAACGATCTACTTTATGCACATACTTTGATTTTCTTTTACTATACGGAGAATGGTCGCACTGCGCAGCTTTCTGAGTGCCTTTTAAAAGGAGATAGAAAACTCCGCCATTTTGAACCCTTATTACGTGTTGCCTACATCTTGGCGCAATATTTTTAATAGGTGCGTTTTAATCATCCGCTTCTGCTTCGGAATTGTCGGTTTTCTTGTTTTAATCTGAATTCCGGAAGCAGAAGCGGATGATTAAAACGCACCTGATATTTTGCTTGCTGCTGTCAGTATCAGTGAATATTATTTTTAAAGTCACAGTTTATTGCTAAAGAATCAGTTAGCTCACTCGGACCAGTTGAAAGTTCCAAAATAACATCCACTCCAGGGATACAAATTCAGGATTGCGCAGAAGACTGCTGTTTTATTATAGGCGGTTGTCATATATTGTATTATCCGAGTTGCACAGTGTATAAACTGAAACATTGAGATCAAAAGTGCCGACGCAGAGTGAGCGATCTGATTCTTTAGCTGTAAACTGTGTCACAGGGATCAAAATGGCCGCGCCCTATGTTGTGCGTGTCGGACCTCTCTCTTGCCTCGTATAGTAATCAAAGTATGTGGGCTTGTCGGACCTCTCTCTTGCCTCGTATAGTAATCAAAGTATGTGACTTTATGCAACACATACTTTGATACTATTAAAAATATTGAGCCAAGATGTAGGCAACACGTAATAAGGGTTCAAAATGGCGGAGTTTTCTCTCCTTTTAAAAGGCACTCAGAAAGGTGCGCAGTGCGACCATTCTCCGTATAGTAAAAGAAAATCAAAGTATGTGTTATGCAAGCAGCCATATAACATATAATAAAGGTTGACATTATGAAACTGGTTACGAAATAGTATATTTCAAGAAAGTAAGAGACTGTATTTTCTTTACGGCTACAGACACAGTAGTCGGTGTCCTGGATTTATACAGATTTTTGCTGATCTGTCCTGGATTCCAGAAATTTATAGTTTGGCAACCCTATTCACAGTCAATCCTGATTTGAAAATAAACTGAATGACATGTACTTAAATTTAACTTAAAAGCGATTCGAGACACAAATACAGAATTTTATTTTCAAAAATGTAAACAGAAGGGTATTTTAATGTCGGCTAATTAGTAAACGGGGCCATAATAATTGGCATGTATGGAAAAACGCATGCAAAACGGGTGACAGCTTAATGGCGTCCAAATAGGTATTTGTTTACTTAAAGATTATTAAACGAGAAACGATCCATTTTTTAACATGCATTACTTATATGGCTATTGTTTGGAATTTTAATGACTGCCCGTGAATGATTTATTAATTTTTTCAAGCAATAAATCAGGTCAATCAATCTTTTATTATTATTTCATTATAAAATATTCCTGTAAAAAAAAAACAGCAAATCTAATGTTGAAAACCTTGCAGTCTTTTTTTTTAAAGCTGCTGTACAATTCGAAATTTTTCTTTCTTGAAAGTAAAATTATAGGAATTCGTATTGCACATCTGCGCACTAATGCTCTTTCAATCCGCTATTGCAATTAATTCTTCTTGCAGAAAATAATGACCGACTGAAAATTGATTGCTGCAAGCTACACTCCTTGGTATTCTGGAACAATTTTTTAAACAATTTATACAGGGTGATTCATAACTATTGGGACATAATCTAAGGTCAGATTATTTGGAGCAAAATATGGCGATAGGGCCATATACCTTAATAAAATATTGTTGTGGAATAAGATACAGGGTGATAAATAATAATAATAATAGACTATAATCAAACAGCAAAAATAATTCACTGTCAAGAAATTACATGTACCAAACACAATTATCTGACACTCCAAAGCACACTTTTCATATGTGAAATATTTTTTTAACTCCCCATTTGAGACTTGTGAGCTGCTCAATTGCGTTTTTCTTGAAAACGGGTAAAATTATCGTGTTTAAATAAGAGTACCAATTATACGTAGAAATGACGTTTACATCATATTTTACAATCAAAAATACTAAAAAGTTTTGTCAAAAAAAGCTACCACTTAATTTCATCATTAGTAATCATTCAAGTGGCGCCCCCCGTAACAAAATGAGAAATTATACATAAAATATTATCCCCTGTCCAAAGATATGCCTCTGTGCCGATGTTGATAACAATTCATTAATATACAGTGACATTATAAAAAAAAAGGAAAAAAAAATCAACTTTAACGCCCTGTATCTTATTCCACAACAATATTTTTTTAAGGTATATTTGGTCCTGTCATCATATTTTTGTACAAATAACCTGCCCTTAGCCTATGTCCCAATAGTTATGAATCACCCTGTATAAACAATATTCGGGTCCTTTACCCAATAAGCCTGACTGTCGCGGATTGACCGAAATACAGGCTTCTAACGGTGATTCCGCTCCGATAAATAAACTAGGACGGACATACGGACCTTGGTAAATTGTGAACTGTATTAAATAATGTTGGAAGTACCTGTGCGATCTGTAGGGATGGAACGATTAGTGCTTAGATGAAAACATCACCTTCTAATTACACTATTTTAAAACACTACTGAAACGGTGTTAATTTTATTACATAGTGCACTTACAAACTACATACTTTTAACACTATGTACAGACCTTCTTAGAAAATTAGGTACTCAAGCCATTATAATTTTAAATAATAATTTATGATGGCCGACGAAAGCGTTGCCTTCTTTTACATCGCAAAACGATGGTTTGTTTTTGACTGTTTTTTATGATCTGCCGGGAAAGAAGTTGCTCACAATCCCGACGAGAGGGGGAGGAACAGTGTCAGTGCAGCCAATCAGTTTAAATTTTGCAGACATTTGACATTCGTTCACCACGACCTAGAGTATGGCGTCTAACTGGTTTTTTATTCACCACAGGGAGGTATCCAACGCGATAAATACAACAATACAAACCACTTTATTTCGGTAAATTAGGTACACAGCTTATCACAAAATTCACAAACTTTCGGCTCTATGTTAATGTACACTAATTGAAGAAAAACTATTAATTTCACTTAATCTAAACGTTTTTCTAAAAAAATCGGCTTGAAAACAACACCTTAAGCTGTAAAAGTGTTCTAAAATATTAGTGCAAATATACTTTATCTCCGCGATGCCAGATTTACCTTTGCACGACTAGCTGTAGTCAGTAATGGTAGCTTTATACCTCAAAAGGGTACACAAATATAGTTAATACCACTAATAATAATTGCATAAAAACGGTCACAGTTATAAGTTTGGCACTTCTAAACACGGATGGTAAAACAGGGTTTTGTAAAAACTATATTAGGAATTCAAAAAGTGTGAGTTGTTGTGGGTATAGACGCTAGTAAGAAAAGGTAATGGCCGACACCCCTCGACCCGTGATGCCGTGGTACTCAAGTGACGGTAAGGTAAGGGCCAAGAGATTGTTACTACAAATTAACGGTTCTGACAACTTTACAACATACACCCCAGAGATAACAGAAAATTATTCATTGATAAAATATAACATTCACAATGCCAAGATTAATTCGACCATCGATACACTTTATTTGTAGGGACGCGGGGAGGAGGCGAAAGGTGAGAAGTAAGAGAGGTGATATAAAGAAGAACTTTACGCAGATACAACTTATTTTTATCAGTGAATAAATTTGTAAGCCGCTGTGCGCTTATAATAAACAACGTAAATATCCATGCCGGTGTAAGCCCTGTTGCCACTTTCAACCTAACATGAGTAGGTTTTGGAATTAATTGAAAATTATTACATCTAATTTAGTGAATTTATATCTAATTTAGTTAAGTTTAATATAACTAATGATTCAAAATTTTTTGGGTTCAGTTGCAATAAAATAGGTTGAATTATTTTAGCTTTTTTATTATATGTAGATAATATTGTAAACAAAACGGGAATGATGAAATAGGCATATGACAACAGCGGATATTATACCCTTTTGCGTCCCTTAGAATATGCCTTATTCAGGATCGCACGATATTTGTTAGTTAGATACACCCTCTTCTTTGGAGGCCAGATATCGTTATACCTATTTTTTTAAATTAAAATACAACGCTAAACAGGGGAATAAATGGAAAAATGAATCGTGCTATGTTCAGGGAATCTAAATATTAGTAGCTTTGACAGTGGCTCCCGCATGTAAATATATGCTTTTGGCTTTTCTTCGCCCAGTGTTAGAAACCTCAATCTAGCCAGGTCTTTAAAGTAACACAAGACGATGATTGATGTTTCCTCTTCTTCTTCTTCTACATTAAACATTCAGTGTTGCTTCTTCTGCTAGATTGGTAAAACTCATGTACCTTCTTAGGTGACAGTGTCTGGTAAGAAAACTAGAGCTTTTGTAAATTTGGCCCAAGGTTCCCTTATAAATTCTTTTTTGATGGATGCCTTGGACACTTCCTTAGCAACTACACAAGAAGGTTCAGGACCTATCGTGGCCTTATCTGAGCCTTTTAAGGCTAATTTGTCGGTCTTTTGTTCATAGCCCTGGTGTCCTTCGTAACCTGGTACTCAGCCTAAGATTATTGATGAAAGAATTATCTTTAGAGCTGCTTAAGGGTCCAAAGATTCCAGCTCCGGCTACTACATTGGTTTTTAAACCGTCTGCATACCAGAGTACTCTGTTTCCAGGAATCTCGGGTTGCTATTTGAATTTGAAATTAGTTAGCATCCCTATCTTATTCTTTTTTACTCCTGGTATAGACTTATGTGGACAAGGCTCTGTTAGCTTGTGCATGACGGACCTGATTTTTCCTTGTTCAAAAATCCATAAAGAATACATTCATGGCTTTTAACATATTTTGTGGCAAAGTTACGTTAACTAGAATTTTCGATAATATATCAGGTTCAGTGTCCACTGGAGAGCAGTCTCTACCCAGAACCCAACAGTAAATATAATAAAATTGTAAAATACATCAGTGTAGTCTTAGTTTGGATACAGTTGGAAGAGATTCTACACATTTACATCTTTTAACTACTCTTCAATTGACTTGATATATTTTTTTGCCATATTGATAATAAACTGTGGGGTCAAGTTAAGTAAAAACCAACAATTTGAGATAAGTAAAATATTTTTAAGACAAATCTTCGGGACCTACGATATATCGTCGTAGACCACCGTTTATGGGAACACCTATCATTTATTATTTAAAGGGTGTTAAGTTAACTGGACGCAAGTTGTCATTAAAAACTCTTACTGAATCAGATATATTTTATTTAATTAATAAATGGTATATTTTCCTTAATTTACTTGATATATTTACGTCATATTCCCTGTTGGTGAAAATGTTTAGTGACTTAAGTATGCAATAAATTGCGAAGTTTAAAAAAGATGCCAATTTTTCTTATGTTCAATAAAAATTGCCGTAATTTTACTTGCAGCAAAAAATGCGAACTTATGAAGTGTATCTAAGGTGCTACATCACCCGAAAACACCACGAATGTCAAAAGATCGCAAAGACAAACTGCAAACGGTTCTATTTTTACCTTTGTATTCTCGCATTGACGGTCGAAAAAAAAAACTGACAACAATTGAAATACCAACATTTATTTATAGTTTTTTTTTTCATCTCTTTATTAACTCATTATATTATCATTTATCATATTTTATAACAGAAAAAAATAAGTACAAAGTATCACCGAATTATAAAACCGTTATTATTGCTTACCTACCGCCAATTCATGTTCAACCTTGAAGACGTGCGTTACATAACAAAATCATAGTAAAATACAGTGAATTATGTAAAACAGTTAGTCCAATTTAGTTATTCACCTATCTAAATTACTATCTTTGTGAAACGCTAACATGAATTGACAGAGGTTTGACGAAATATCTTAAATAAGTAGGTAGAATTATACTCTGAGATGCCCACTGATTTTTGGAATCGACACTGTCCCTGACAAAAATTGGGCGTTTCAATGGTAATTTTTATACAATTTATGTAGTCAAATACTATTAATATTAAGATCTAACTGATGTACAATCCCATAGAGTTATTTGTTTTAAATCTAATACAGAAAGTACATGATTTCTGTGTAGGATTTGTTACTGTTTCCTAGAGCCACTTTAGGAACAGCACTGTGATAACAGTGTACAGTTCATCAAATTTCTAGAGGTGATCGACGCCCAGACAGAGAACGCGCTACGTGTGACTAAGATAGCTATTGTACAGTCTGCTAAACAAGTTATTTTAAATAGTTTTTAATATTTTTAGGTAATTAAATTTTAAAAGTGTGGAATAGTTTAGGGATTAAATTGGTCTGATTGGACTTTCTTAAAACGTTTTTAAAAGCAGCTAAAGATAGTATGTAGAATTGAAAATAATTATTATGCCATAAAAGGTGTTTTGGAATTCCTTCAACCTTTTGAAATTGAGTCAGAAAATATAAATTTTATAGGATAGCGGAAAATACCTATAATTTTTTTGTAGGCCTTTGTAAATCGTGGAAATAGTTTATATTTTATTTCTACCTTATTAAGGAAAATGGTACCTATTATTAATAACGGTTGTTTCTGAAACATTACTAAAATTTTCGAAATTTTGTTTTTCTACAAAATAATAAATATACTATTAAGAAAAAAATTTATTTCTCTTATAATTTTATAAAAAATAACAGGGGAATATATACATTTCTTGATCTATTAAACAAAACGATAAATTATCTCGACGAATGACACCATGTTCTAGTACGGAAGCTAACTTTACATTTTTGTTGGTAGTTTCATGGGTTTCATATCAATTTTTTGTAATTGTAGTTTACACGTACATATACCTCTTAACACTTGTTTGTTTTATTAAAAAAGTGTGTTGTTGTGATTTACGTCGAAATAAGTCAAAAACAACTTGAAACCCCATATAAAAATCAAAAAGGAGAAACGGAAAAAAATTGAGCCTGTAAATAAACACAACTCAGAAACAAAAATAGCTATCTAATAATAAAAAAATAAAATTTGATTCTTGTGCAGCTTCATCTATATCATTAACTGTTTTTGGTTTTTTAATGGTTTTTCTTGGTGATGAAAATTCCGATATCTCACGGTTATCGATTCTTTTTTTCTCTCCAGAAATGCGGACGACAGTGTTTTTAGATACTCCTGTGGCTGCAGCAACACGATCATTTACATTTTTAAATGGTATTGAAGGTGAATTAAAGTTTCCTTCTCTTCTCATAAACTCTATAACATTGGCTATTATTTCGCGAGATTGACTGTTAATCACGCGGCCTCTTAATTTGCTATTAAACTCCATACTTAGGTTCTATTAAACTGTAATGAGCAAAAAACACAAACGAAAATAAAAGAAATGTTTTAGCGAAATTTACATCTGACATTTACGTCTGAATGAAATAGTGAAATACTTGATGCGCAGAGTGTACTTTCATTGCGTAAATCCGTCGGGATGCCTGTCAGTAGTGCTTTCTCTGTCTAGCCGTCGAAAGCCTCTAGAAATTTGATGAACTGTACGGTCGAGTGGGAATCCAACCTGTGAATCAGAATTAATTTTTGAGAGTTCAGACTCGGACTACTGAGCCAGATAAGTCGTAGACTTCCTTTTGCTATTCAAATAGCACACTAAATTAACTTGCCACTATAGGGATACGCTTAATAGGTAGGTATAATACCTTCAATTTACTCTGTATTTTTCCAATTTACGGTAGGTAATAATAATTATTTAATAATCCATCAATTATTATTATTATTATTACCGGCATACGTTTCAGAAGAGAAGAGGCCACCTCACACATCGGTACACACCTCGTTTCGCCTATTTATTTCCTCTTGTTATTCATTCAATGGGATGTGCAATTCTAATCGTGTAATTATATATTGCGTTATTTTTGTTTCAAGTGCATTGTTTGAATGTATTACGGGTCGGATCGTCAAGAGCAATGGCGCCTATAATGAGACACTTACACAAATAGTGCACTTTTCAAGATCACTTCAAACATTAAGTAATTAAAGAAAACCCATATGTTATACTGTGTTAAAGGGGTCGATATAGAAAGTTGATTTGTGGGTAGTTTTAGATGTTTTTTATTTTGAAACTTTCTTAAATAAATCGGGTATAAGGGTATATTTAAAGAAACCTAACATTCAGATTTTTAATCAAAATGAGCTTAGTTTAACAATATTTTCTTAACGTCGGAAGTTTTTAAATGTTTATTTTTTTTTAATGACTAAGTACACTTCCTAACCTAAAAACGAGGCTAAGTTTAGTTAAACACACTGTATATGTGATCGCCATTAATTGTCACTTCTATATTTAAATAAACCAAAGACATTACAACTGTCTTTGAAATAAACGAAAGTAAATAAATGTTGTTTTATACAATATATTTGTATTAAATTTTAATATATGAAACAAAATGATTTTCTCTAATGCAGTTCTCATATACATAATTTTTGCATTATCTCGTAATTATAAAATGCTTTCCTAACACTTCTATAAAGTTTCGAATTGTTAATTGAAATGCAATATACAATCACTACACAATGTTTTCATAAATATTTCATATGAAGTCGTATAAGTATTTCTAAATTTACATTTATTAAACAATTTTATAACTGCTGTATTATATTATCTTAAAAAAGTTATATACATCCTTTATCGAACTTTTATAGTATTGAAATGTTGTATAAAACATGGTCATTTTGCTTGCATAGACATTGTATAAACGTTTTGATCACGTCAGTAGATTTCGTAACGATCGTATACTTAGCAGTTCTTACAACCTCTAAAAATTTATTTTTGCTACTTGGGTTACCTAGCCAAACGCTTGTTGTTGTGATTGGCTCTTATACGCATGTTACTGTTTAACGGCGCAACGTCCAATCATAATACACTGTTTTGAAATATTAACCAATAGGAATACGTAACGCATAATCAACAAGACTCGAGTTGTTCCAGTTTGCGGTGACTACACACATGCGTCGTCGATGACTTGTATCTTTATCTTTGCGGTGAATTTTCGATTAATTTCAAAGGTGATTCTACAAAAGAAAACATGAACTTTTTTTCATATAAACCTAGGCCCGGAAATGCTCAATTTTCAAGATACAGTATGTCAAACTTTAAAAAAAATTGATTTTTATAAATATCTAATATATCATGTGGCCGATTTTATTAAAATTTAGTGGAGTTATTTGTAATAATAAGGGGGTAACTTAGCTGTGTTTAAATCAAATTTATGTAGTATAGTGGAGTCTAGGGGGTACCTTACCGAATATTATTGACAACAAATTGTGTGCTTTAAATTTTTTTTAAATTATTATTTTTTTTTTTATTAATCGACATTTCTGTTTTTTGATTTATTTTCGGATTGTGTTTCGTTATCGTGAAAAAATAAATAAAACCAATTTATTGCATATCTTTCTTTGAGCTATAAATTCTATAAAAAACTGTATCTTGAAAATAATGTTTCATGTTTTCTTATATTACCCCTAAAATTATTCGAACGATATTTCCGGACAACCTGTATATATGGGCCTCATGGATCAGTTTCTTGGGCAACTTTGTAACCATGTGGGAAAAATATGTCTATTTTAGACTATTTTAGACTATTTTAGACCATTTTAGACTATTTTAGACTATTTTAGACTATTTTAGACTATTTTAGACTATTTTAGACTATTTTAGACTATTTTAGACTATTTTAGACTATTTTAGACTATTTTAGACTATTTTAGACTATTTTAGACTATTTTAGACTATTTTAGACTATTTTAGACTATTTTAGACTATTTTAGACTATTTTAGACTATTTTAGACTATTTTAGACTATTTTAGACTATTTTAGACTATTTTAGACTATTTTAGACTATTTTACAATATTTTACACTATTGTACACTATTTTACATTAGTTTACACTATTTCACACTATTTTACACTATTTTACACTATTTTACACTATTTTACACTATTTTACACTATTTTACACTATTTTACACTATTTTACATTATTTTACACTATTTCACACTATTTTAGACTCTCAAAAACACATTTTTATATAAAATTTTTGCTCTGGAGAGACCTGAAAATATTTTTTCTATACCCACATGGATATTAGCCTATCTACGCACAGATTACAAAACGAAAAAGTATGCTATTACCTTCAACTGAATGAATATATTTCATATCCATTCTAGATAGTAAGAACACTGCAAAAAAAAATGAAATCCACCAATCACCGTTCATATTTTGATCAACCGTTTGCTATTATTTTTAAAATTTTAAATGTGACAATTCTGTCAAACTAATTGTCATTGTATATTTTTTAGTTATTGAGATTAAATATACATTAAAATGGGGCATTCTTGTGTAGAATCGATAAATAATAGCATTTCTGTTTTTATTTCTTCTATAATTATAAATAATTTCTAAATTTAAATAAAACAATATGAAACCAATTTAATTACGAATATTAAAGCAAAAAAAATAAAGAATAGGTGGTCCTATGGTCAGCGTTCTGGCTTTACACGCAGACGACTGGAGTTCGATTCTCGGTTGGGGAATAATAAAATGAACGTTTTCTTTTTTTTTTTTTCATTTATTTTATTTTCAAAATTATTAAAAATTTATTATTATTTTGTCTTAATAACCTAAAATATTTTTTTTATTTGTAAAGTTTCGTTAGAGGGTCGTAGAAAAATATACTGTACAACTCGAGTGGATTGTCCACGCACTTAGACGATT